TTGTCGTGTATCTTCGGACCGGCTGACAGCGACCGGTGGGCTGACAGCCAGCTTAGATCGCGTCACCGCGGTATGTTCCCAGCGGCTTCGCAACATTATACGGCACACGAAAGAAATATGATATTCCACGTCATGTCATGATGTGTAAGTCACTTTTTCATTTGCATTGTTGCATTGCTACTCCGATGCTAATGATGTGTGCAGTCGCGATAAATGCATTTTAATGAGCGGGTGCATGTTGCCTACGTGCTTGAAGCCCTGGAAAGTTATTCAGGGATCCTGAATTAGAATGATTCTTTCCGCGGTGTTTGGAAATGTCCACTTATTTTTCGTTAATAGACATTTTGCCAGTCAGTGGGTTGCCACTAACTCTGATTAATTCCTGAGACTTGCTCTATAATTACACATCATGTACTAAACCAGCTGAAACAAGCTGACTCGAGCTTTAAATGGACACAGTGAGGGATCACGGGAAAAGATTCGATTCAGTTTCAGGCCAGTAGGACCAGGTGGCCTCGTGCGTTTTGGTAGATGGCCACCGTGAGAACGTGATGATATACCGTCGGCTATTCTCTTTCCCAAGAGGTACCCAGCCCTCATACTCCATGACAAAAAAGTGGAACCCACTTGTCCTCTCTTTGGATTTTGATGGCCTCACTCTTGGATCGGTACCCCCAATGTCGCAGCACGCATGCCGTGACAAACCCACGTGTTGCCTCGCATGTTGATCTGGTTTGTCAGTCTGGGTCGGGCTGCTGTCACCTCGACAAGCTGTCAAGGATGGCCAACTTCGGCGCACAGCCTGTCCGATAGAATGCCACCACACCCATGCCATGGCATCTGGCGGTCACGGAGACGCTGCGATGGCGCCACATTTGCCAATCTGTCTATTGTCGTCCCTGCCGCGACACTTCCAACGTTCTCGGGCCCCAGGCGGCAGCGTTCTCCCGCGGCGGTCCTCTGCGGCGCCCTCCAGACGGCAGCGTTCTCCCGCGGCGGTCCTCTGCGGCGCCCTCCAGACGGCAGCGTTCTCCCGCGGCAGTCCTCTGCGGCGCCCTCCAGACGGCAGCGTTCTCCCGCGGCGGTCCTCTGCGGCGCCCTCCAGACGGCCAGCGTTCTCCCCTCGCGGCGGCCCGTCGCGTTCTCCCGCGCGCGCCTGCGCGCACCCCTCGCAGACTGCCTAGGCACGTTCTCCGCGCTCTCTCTCGACGGCAGTACTCTTGCGGCGTCCCTCCAGACGGCAGCGTTCTCCCCTCCGCGGCAGCGTCGCGGCGTCCGCCGCGACGGCGCCCTCCAGACGGCGCGGCGTCCGCGTCCGGCGGCCGGCTCCCGCGCGGCCGTCTGCGTCGCCCCTCCAGACGGCAGCGTTCTCCCGCGGCGGTCCGCTGCGGTGCGCCCCACGCGCCAATGTACTGCGGCGCGTTGCACGGTGTGCGCGGAGCCGCCCGTTTTCCGCATGTCCACGCCATAGCAGAGCGTTCTATCAGCCCAGGGCCTCAGCTCGTGAGGCGCCTCCCCGCTGCTGGCAACCGACACTTCTTGGAGCAGAAGACAGCTTGTGCGTCACCCTGGCCGAAGTTTTGTAGTTTGTGGGTGGGTGTGGGTGGCGCTGCGTTGCTGTGTGATTGTGTGTTGTGTGGTGTGTGTGTGTGTGTGTGTGTGTGTGTGTGTGTGTGTGTGTGTGTGTGCGTGTGTGTGTGTGTGTGTGGTGGTGCGTGCGTGGTGCGTGCGTGCTGTGTGTGCGTGCGTGTGTGCGTGTGTGTGTCGTGGTGCGTGCGTGTGTGCGTGAGTGAGTGCTTGTGCGTGTGTGTGTGTGTGTGTGTGTGGTTTGATGTGTGTGTGTGTGTGTGTGTGTGTGTGTGTGTGTGTGTGTGTGTGTGCTGGTGTGTTGTGTGTGTGTGGTGTGTGTGTGGTAGTGTGGTGTGTGTGTGTGCGTAAGTGCGTGTGTGTGTGTGGGTTTTAGGCGCAGACACTCATTTGGTTTGATACTGCTTTTTACGGCGTTCGTCTGGAACCATATCCTATGTCAATAGTATGCATTAGATTGAATTGGTTGCGGCAGCTTTATGGTTCACACGCAAATTGCCTAAGAAATGCATCATCAGCACGACATGAATATGTTTTCAACATTAGGCTCTACGCATGCGTCACATTTCGTTTTGAGCCTGCACAACTATCTGCTGCTCTGTAACCAGACTGACACCGTCAAGCCAACGGCTAAATAGTCCTCGTTGGCGAGCCATATATGAACGCTTATTCTGGAAGACAAACTATCGCTACACGTTTCGCCACATCACAAAAGTGGCCCGTATCACTTCAGCGCTCCACCGAAGTTGGGCTTCCGCCAAGACGCTTGGTGCCTTAGCGTGGTGTTTACATTCTTTTCGCGAGCATTATACAGATTGCGGCGGCAAGCGGGCTCGTAGAGAGGTGACGTCTGTGATTTGCTTTTTCAGTAACTATTTTTGTCAGAAGATATCAACTATGACATAAAACGCAGTCGCTGTTAGATAAAGGGAATGATCTACATTTGACGGGTTTGAAGTAGGCATGTGACATGAAGGAATAGCCTCACTTATAGCTATTGGTATACTTCAGGTGGAAAATACCACTCTACACAAAATAACTCCTCTCTTTCATAAATATGCTCTTCAATGTCATTGTTTGATTATGTCACCGTGCCTTTACAACATGGATTGAGAGTCAATTGACAGCCATGATATATGGAAATCGTGCTCACGAACTGCAGATAGAACGACTCGACGATTATATTTGTATTGGCCTTGATCGCTGCATGATTAATGGCATGACAAAATTTCAATTACTTTATTTTGGCGTCATGACTGCCTGGGTGACCTTGAAAAGATATCCCCGAAAAAGTCTGCACATCTTCGTGGGCGCACAGCTCAGAAACTGGTGAGATCCAGGACTTAAGAAGGGTAGGGCTGTGAACTGCATCGAATGATCTTCAAGATGGCTAGTTCAGTTCAAACCCCCATACAAATGTAAATCACTCTCTCGACATGAACCTGAATCCGTTTCAATTTCGACTCAGCACGGAGCAATTCACTTCAGAGGAAATCGTTTGTCTGGAATGCCGTCGCCGCTAGGTTTTGCTCAATCTTGTCGCGGAGAATGAAAGTTATCCGAATATTTTTATTTCAATATTCCTAACAGTTAGCAGGGCCTGATTGAAATATGCAAAACCGGACATTTCACCATTAGTCGTAACCATGAACAGATGAGATGACCTTTGAACAAACAGGCGAACCTTGCACCCCTGTCAGCTGGCAGTGACAGATGGCAAAGTCATGAATATCTTGCAGAAGACGCTGCATTTGTGATCGTGTCGTCGTTTGCTTGGTGTCTTGCGGTCATCACCATGTGCACGTCAGCATACCCAAGTGAGATATCAAAACTGCAGAGTAGCCGCGCGCTCTGCATCCAGGACATTTTCGAACCTGTCGACCAGACATGCCGTGTCACGAACCGGCCCAGCTTTACGCCGACTCCGCGAGCCGCCATGCGTCGGGGACGACTATTAGGGAAATCACGGATGGGTCACGCGCCCGTCAATGGCTTGGGCGTGGCCTCTTTCCGATGCGATCGGCGACAGCTTTGTGTCGGCGCCTGCTGTTCGGAGGGGAGGGGGCAGCGGGCGGGGCGGCGCGTGTGGGGCACGTCCGGCCGACCGACGCCCCCTCTGTGGTGGGGGCGGGCCGCACGTGCCACGAGCGGCCCGGTTTGCAGCGTCCCACGTGACAGACGCGAGCGCACGTGTCGGCACCAGGTTATTAGATTAATCACCGTCCAGGCGGCGGCCTGCAGGCTGCAGGCGATGCGCAGCGGCAAGACAGCGGTGCGCAGCTCTATGGAGCCAAACTGGGACCGACGGTGACTCACTGCGTAATTTCGCGAGCCGCGGCGGCTTTGGTGACCCACTCGGAGGACTTGCATCGTTTGTGAGCAGCAGTGAACGCTTCGACTACCGACGAATGTCAGGAGACGGCGCTCGTCATCAGGCTGGCGAGCTTCGGACATCCCGACACGCTGTGCGGCGCGGCGCTGTGCCCAGCGCTCCGCCGCTGGTCGCAGCGCCGTGGCAGCTCTCGCCCCAGCGGCCCTCGTCCGTCTCCACCGCTGCCTGCCGCCGGAGGGGGGACCCGCCCTCCCCGGAGATCGGTGGCAGCTGGGGCGCAGGCGCTCTCGGCTGGTCTCTCGGTCGGTCTCCGCCGTCTCCGCGGGCGGCGGATTAGCATAGCCTGTCGAGGCCGTCCGCCCGCCGTCGGTGGCCGCTTCCGCCAGCTGCTGCCCGGTCGCCGCTGATCGCATATGCAGGCTGCACGCCCCGCTGGCGAGGCCCTGTAGCCGATCCGGCGGCGGGCGGCGCGGCGGACCGGCTGATGTATGCGCTGGGTTGGCGTCGTGTTCGGAAGCCGGCTGCGCCGCGGGCGACCCCTGGCGCACCCCGAGCCCGTCTGTGCGACGCTTGTGATCCGCGATGAATATCAGCGGCGAATGGATGCAGAGATTCTAGCTCAGACCCCACGCGTGGTGGGCTGAGGTCGACTGATTTCGCTCGGTGTTGAGGTGATGTTGTGAAGCGTTTCGGCGTCGCTGGAGCGTTGTTATGATCATGTTGTGTCAGACGTCGTACAGGGTAGATGACAACCTTGAGTCAGTTGAGACGAGGCTGATGTCACGAAATGAAACACCCTCGAGAGAGTTTCCGAGACGACACCACCAAAGAGTAGTATTTACTCCGAGATACGTTTTAGTGCAGGCAAATTCAAGTTCAAGTAAACAGATGCACGTTCGACAGATTGGTTGCGAGGGATGGCCGTTGCGATCTTGGTGGTCGCAATTCGTCTCGAGGGCGTTACGGGTTAGTTGTATCCATGCCGCTCTCGCGTGGTGAGACATCGAACTGCAATGTGTAGGCACCTCTTTCTACTTGGTGCGTTCGCTTTGATGCGACGTTCTGTGACGAAACATGAGTCTGTCTTGCTGGCCGTTGCTCTGTTATTCGCAGAACCACACATTTAGACCGTGACAATCATGTTCTTTGCTCCTCGCTCGCTTGCATCGCAAATGTTTCCAACGAAAAAAATAAAACCAGCCGTGTACATTTACACAATTCAGTAGCTGTAATGTTCTCATTCAAAAACCATATACAATGCATTCTAATCCAGACAACAAGTCAGTACAGACGCTAGTTTTGTACATGAAATACCACTGTCGATCAAGCTGTACATGAAGTTGTAAGTTCAGGTCACGTCCAAACGATACTGCAGCCGCCGAATTCGTGAGGCTCCCTCAGCGACAAAGAAAAGCCACACGGCGCATTCAACAGTCGCAACCCAAAAATAAACCCACATGTTAGATAAGCAAATAAATCACATTTGGGAGTCGGCATAAACGCAGGAACTATTGAAACCGAAGCTTATCTTTATGCACACCATGCGAGGTCAGGCGATGCCGGCATCATGTTAACAAACAATGAATCATTATGCGTGAATTATGACAGTTCTCACCTTGTAACATTCGATTTGAACGGTCGCAATGAGGTCAATAGCCAATAGCGGCCAGCTTAAGCTTTTAGACTGTCGAAATATAATTTAAGAGCACTAGCCATTATGGCGTAACAGATCAGAGCCGTCCGTGTCAGGAAGCTAGAATGCGAATGGTGGTTGAGGGTCCAATAAATAAGATTCGGTTTGTTCATGCGAAGTGTTAGCGGCGGCGTACCGGAAGCGATACAGAGCTCTGCTGTGGGCGGCAGGGTGCGTCGAGGAGGCGGGCTGGAGAGATTTTGATCATATGCTACGACACATACACACCGATTGAGGCAGTCGGCCGCTGTCGGGGCCGGCGGGCAGATATGAGGAGACTACGTACTAGGGCCGCCCGGCGGGCCACGCCGCCGCCGGGCCCGCGCCGCCGCCGCCGCGCGCCGCCGCCCTGTAGGTGTGCCGATGTGTGGGATGTGTGTGGTGGGTGCCTGCATGAACAGAAATGCCCGAACGCACAATGATATACCCTGTTGTTTCCATTATACAGCGCGCGCTCGGAGTGAGGTGCGCGCGCCGCCGGCCGGCCCGGGCCGCGCCGCCGCGGCGGCGGGCACGGCCCGATGGGCGCACCCGCCGCGGTCGAGCGCGGCGCGGGCCTGGCGCGCGGCCGGCGCGACAGAAACGACTCCTCCCGCCCCGGGGCGTGCGCTCCCGAACCGAACGGCCGCGGAAAACAAACGGGGCGCCATTCGTCGATCCGCTCTGGGAGCCGGGCCGCTCAACAAATAAGGGTATGCACTACTTAGGTACGTCCCAAAGTACGGCCAGCGCTGGCGCGGCACCACGACACTCATCTCGGTACGCAGTAACAAAGTATGTACAGTCGTCATCACATTGAACATACAACACCAGCGGGAGTGCCGGGCGCGTGTGGCGCGCGCGCGCGCGCGGCCCGTGTCGCCCCCGGCCAGCGCCTATTGCTGCCGCTCACGAGGGCCACCCCACACTCCAACACACACAATGCACACCGTATTAGGCTGACCAAGCGCCTTAGCCGTTGAACACACAGTTAAGCAGTCCGTCGCCCCAACGGCGCTCCGCGTCCGTCTGGCGGCGTCCAGCACCCAGCACCATCTATCGATGACGCCGCGAAACACAGCTGTCGAGCACCACCGCTGAAGAGATCCCGTCGGCCACCTGCAAACAGCGTGTCATTTTCAGCCGGGGCAACACATTTGCATTTTATTTGCTGATCTTTGCCAGGAAAGCGGTATATGATAGGCACCTAATGGTGGATGGCCCGTAAAGTCGGGGGTCGTCCCAGGGAACGACCCCGATGCCTGCGGAGCAACACAGCCGTCCGCCTCCCGTGGCCCGAGGAGGGCACTTATTGTGCAACAATTGTGCCCTTTAGAGCACTTTGCACGCTGCAACTGGACGTTACAGCTCCGGTTAACCTGATTACAAATGCAAAAAGCGACGCGCCGCTTGTTTTGGTTGGGTACGGTACGCTAATCTCCTGGCCTTAAAACTGCAAGGCACCGGCGCCCGTAGAGAGCGTCTGGATCCGTAATTACCGAATGCAAATCGCAGTTGTAATCACAGTTGCGCGGCGAGCCGGTAGCGGAGCCGGTTATGGGCGGCCGGCCGGCGGCGCGCCGGCGGCCGCGGTCGGAGCGCGGCGGCGCGGCTCCCGCGGAGCCGGCGCCGCGCTCCGCCGGCCTCGTCCGGCCGATGTGACTTATTGGAACACGACCGGGGCCTTTGTCTGAGGGACGGGGACGGGCCGGAGCGGGCCGCTCTGGCGAGAGGCGCTCCACGGGGGGGACGCCAGTTTCGGGGCCGCAGTCGACGCAGATTCTTTCCCGTTGGCATTCTCTCGGCGTCAGCTGAGCGTTATGAAGTCGGCCGCTTATACGTAGCATTTAACGCGTCTTGAATACATTAAAACGACAATCAAATGAAATACCCATGTTAAAATGTCAACAGCCAACGACATGAGGTGAAATTGTTGAGTAGAGTCTGATTTCACCATTTAGTTGCATTCAAGACGGAGAGATCCGCTGATACGCAACAGCATGCCCACCGCTCGTGCCCCGGCGGGAAGCAAAAAACCTGAACGTGACATAACAGGAACGAGGTCAGGGGTCGGGGCGGCGCACTCACCGCCGGCTACAGGTGGTGTCCGTAGTACTGCTGCTGGTAGGCGGCGGCCGGCCGCATAGTCCTGGTACGGGTCTCCGGTGCGGTGCAGCATCTGCTGATGCGTGTCCATCACATAACCCATGCTAGCCGCCTCGGACGAGTAGGCCGCCGCTGGTCCGGGGAATCCCACTGCCGGGGAGGCGGGGCGTCAGACGGGGAGTCGGTCTCGGCCACCCGCGCCAGTCTGTGCCGGCCCCACCCAACATTCTGAGACTCGTCAAAGGCGTTTTGCAGCAGCGACGAAACTGGGCTCGACATTTAATTTCATTTCCTAGTGCTGATGTTCGTCTCCCCGAGTGTTGCCAAGACGTCTTCCGGAGTGTTGCCCAAGCGTTTCCGCCGAGAGTTGTCCTACGCGTCTCCGTCATGAGCACGGCCCGAGCGGCCCGCGGTCTCCGCGCGCGCCGCGCGGTGTCGGTCGCCGGGGACGACAGCGCCGATAGCGAGCGATCGGCGTGGGCCAGCGAGGCCTGGGGCCGCTCCGGGCCGCCGGCGCCGCTCCCAGCGGACGCGGCGGCAGCTGCAGCGGCGCGACACCAGCTCCCGGGCGTGATGGATCGGACGCCGGCCGGCGGCGGCGCGCAGCAGGGACACGGCAGGCCCGGTGCCGGCCCTGAGGTCGCAACAGAGACGCGGCTCGCGCGGGAGCGCGGACGAGCCTAGCTCGCGGCGGCGGCCGCTGCCGGCGCCGGCGCCGTCCCAGCCAGACCTCCTCACGCGCGGGGACTCGACCGGACCGCCTGCTGGACCGTCAGGCACGGCGTCGCGCCGACCCGACCGCTGGAGCCGTCAGCAGTCGTGATTGTACGCGCGTCCGGCGCACGACGAGGCTGTTCCCGAGCCGGTCAGCGCACGACACGACAGACGGCAGCGCGCGTGCGGACCGCGCGCCGCGCGCCGCTCTCTTTGTGCGTCTGCACCCCTGCACACGACGCTGCGACACGCTCGAAAGGCGCGGTCACGAGGCAAATAACGCGCGGAAATTGAGTCGAGACGCGAACTGCCGCCCTCCACGCATGACGGCCGATTCACGGCCGCAGCTGCGCCGTTCCGCGCGCTCGGAGGCGGGTGGGGCCCGCCCGGCGGTGGTCTCGTGGTGACACAGAGACACCATCGGCCGGCGCGACGGCAGGACTCCAGTCGGGCGGCGTCACCGGCGGTAGTACGACAGCCATATATGGTAATGCGTCATCCCTCGATAACTTATTCATATGATCTCGTGGACGGCCGGTGCCGGGCCCGCCGTGTTCGCCGCGCTCGCCGTCTGCGTTCACGCTCGCGCTCCAGCGGGTGCCCCGCCACCGCCGCCGCGTCCGAACTCGGCCATTATTGTAATTGGCTTCATTCTCGGCCGGCGCGCGGGCCGGTCGACGCTCGCAGACGTTTAGCTAAGCCAATCACCGCGGCGAGTTTTATCGGTGCGGCTCCGCGAGTCGCGCTGTCGGATCCCCCCTCTGGCGAGCGGTGCCCAAATGTCACGTTTGACTGACGTGTGCTGGCAGGGATAAACGGAAATTAATCATTTCGAATAGATTCTAAAAAAGCGGCAGCAGAATTGTTCTGCGTTCTGCAATGCTGCGTTTTAGGCGGCGCACGCCGACAGACGCCCGACGTGAAACTCGACTTGGAAACTGGCGCAGCTGTTCGCCGCCATTGCAAGAGTGACGTCAGTTTTTTCCTTCACAAAGACGGTCCCAAACAAAGCGACGATGGTGACGTCCGCTGACAGAGGAGATAGCAATAAAATAAACACAGCGCGGAGCATCGCCATTTGCCGATAGCTATCGCGCAGGCAAACAAAGCGTGCCGTCGTGGCCGCCATCGCGCTGCGCCTAATGTAGCCGGGACGAAATGTAACCAATTTAATTAACCGTCGCGAAGATCGAGCGTCCCTTCACATGCACTCGCGGCACACACCCAGCGCACGCTCTACAACTCGTCTGTCTCACCATTAGCATAAATTTCCATACTTTGGCTCGCATGCATCCTGCTCATTATGCATCTGCAATTAGACATCTGACTTTCGTGGGATCACGTGACTTACCTGCGCGATTTGATTGGTCAATCATGGGCTGAACAATCCTGCGCCTCGCGTTTATGAACCTGGGGAAGAGAGAAAAGTGGTGAGCGCCTAGTTGCACCTTGTCACGAAACCTTCGTAAAATGGCTCGCCGTGCCCGACATTTTGCTTTGCATGAACACAATGGCGGTGGCCCGGTAGGGCAACTAGTGACAAAACAATGGAGAAGGTGGGAAAAAACGCCCGATGTATCCGAATGCTTCAGACATCCACTCATTTCACATCAGGATGCATTATGCCCTCGAGCAGACCCGTCTAACGCAGCACACCGCACAAATCGAATAAAAAACGCCTCCCATCATCTCCCACATTTTTTGCGGTGGCGGCTGGCGCGGCGCTCTTCCGTGTAAACGTGGCAATCTTTCTGGACGCATATTTTGCATAAAATTAACATCTCCCTGGGCGGAGATTTGGGCAAATGGAATTTTTCCGTGGCGCTGCGCCTGAGTGCGGTCGGTCGGCGGCGTTCGTGGCGCGTCGCTGCCTCCTCGGCGGCGGGGAGGGAGCGAGGCATTGTCGCGCCGCATCGCAGACGACGGCCACGGCCCTCCTCCGTCACTTACCCGGCAAATTACGATAAAAAACCCACGGTGCATTATTAATTTGATATCATCCAGCGAGAACAGAGAGCCAGAAAAAACAGATGGGAGGCGAAATGGCTCTGCGGTGGGCGAGAGAGAAAAAGAAATATTCATGCGATATAAACAATAATAATGGGGTGAGTAAATTGGCTGAAAATTGAGTTCTAGGCTGTCTCCACCCCGGCAACTGACACCCGAGTCAGACATTCAGCCGCTGCTAACTTGCATTCACGCATCTGACGTCTGCAAACGACACGTTTTTATCGCAAATCACAGCTTCATCTGCGTATACCAACTCAAAGCAGAATGTCCTGCTGTGGACCACCGGTTCCGAACCCCCAGGTTCCACAGCCGCGTGGACCAGCGTTCGAGGAGTGTACTAGTGCGATTCCGGGCCACCGTTCCCAGGGTGCCGCCGTCTTCGCGCGGGAGGACGCTGCACGTTCAAGGCCAAACGGTGTGCTGTGCACAGCCGGTGGGTGATGTATGGGCCGTCATGGACGCCGCGCCGGCTCCGTCCGCCATCTTGGCCCGGCGGCCGGCCGCCGGTAACGAGCCGGGCTCAAGCGACCCGTAACGACGACGAACGAGCGAGAAATGGGTGCCAAGATCATTACAATTGCGCGACCGCTCCGCCCGGTCGCCGGCGCAAAAACGTTTAATCACATCGGCCGGCCGGCCGGCCGCGACAAAAAGCCGGGCGAATGGCGCTTATTTAATTTGGTCGGCCACTAGAGCGGACAGTATCGTCGCCGGATCCGGCGACACTCGCGCGCCGAAGGTTTTTCGTGGCCGACATCGGGGCGACGCGACCGGTCGGACGGGCCATACCTCACCGACCAGGCGCCGCCTATCGCTGCCCGCATCACACTCCTTCGGCCCAATAATTTATCTCGGCGCTTCCGTAATTTATTCGACCAATGTGGCCGGGGGATAATAATTGTTATCACTGGTCGGCGGCGGGGACGCGCGCGTCATCCCGTGATCCGGCCATTACTCAATCAGGGCCATCTCGGCCGCTGGCGGCGGCGGCGCGGCGGAATGCGGCGCGCACATTCCGCCGGCCGGCCCACAATGCAAGCATCCTCAAAGTCACTCTCCAACCTATGATTATGTGCCAGTCCTCCAGCTGGGCCGGCCGGCCAGGATCTAATGGAATTCGGCTCGGCGGCCGGTTAGGCGCGCTATGGCCGAGGCTGTTGTCGAGCGCGCCACAGCCGCCCACTGTAATTACAGGCCCGGCCCCGCTCTTTATGAGCTTTGATACAAGACGGCCGGCCGGGCGCGCGGGCGGCGCTGGCCGGCGATGACGCGGCGCGCCGCCAGTTGGCCGGCCAGGAATGCCGCCGAGCGCCGCGATCGGCACCGAGGGCGTGTCGCCGTCCGGCGACGCGCCACTTATCGCCGCAGCGTCGCCACGGCCCGTTCGAGGCCCGCTCGACGCCCGCTCGAGGTGCGTTCGAAGTCCGTTGTAGTCCGTTCTAGGTCCGTTCTAGGTCTGTTCTAGGTCCGCTCGAGGACCGCTCGTTGCCCACTAGAGGCCCGCTCGAATTTCGCCGACCGACGACGGGGAACAGACTCGCCGCATCCATCAGAGC